CCACAGTGCCACTTCCAGCTTTTTCTGCTTATGTGGTGCTGAGGAATTGAACCCAGGGCCTCATGCATGCAAGGCAAGCGCTCTACCACTGGGCCACCTTCCCAGCCTCCCCTCTGTGAGACTCTTATCTCCAGTTAACCACCAGAAAACTGGAAGTGGCGCTGTGGCTCAAGTGGTAGAGTGCTGGCATTGAGCTGAAGAGCTGATGGGCAGCGCCCAGGCCCAGAGTTCAAGCCCTACCAATACAAAAAATAAATTATTTTCATTGTATAAGCGCCTAGAACTAGATGATTATTTACTGTCTTCTATGTTATGATTTCAAAATTGCTTACCATGTGAGCTAATGATTGTTTTTTAGAAACCTGAGCTCCTTGGTTTGTTTTAATGGACACAAAGTCTGTTATTAGTTTAATAGGACCCCTCTGATATCCCCAATAGATAATGAAAAGCGCATAGATAGCCCACATTTATCATCTTAGACATTTTTTTTCCCCCTGGGCTTGGGGCTTGAACTCAGAGTCTGGGTGCTGTCCCTGAGCTTTTTTGGTCCAGGCTAGTGCTCTATCTCTTGGGCCACAGGCTCCACTTTTGGCTTTTTGGTGGTTAATTGTAGTTTCCTGCCTGGTCTGACTTTGAACCTTAATCCTTAGATCTCAGCCTCCTGAGTAGCTAGGATTAAAGGTGTGAGCCACTGGTGCTCAGCTAGACAAGTGATTTTTTTTTTGGTTGGTTATGAGGCTTGAACTCTGGGCCTGGGCGCTGTCCCTGCACTCTTCAGCTCAAGGCGAGCGCTCTACTGCTTGAGCCACAGTGCCACTTCCGGTTTTCTAGTGCTTTATTGGAGATAAGAGTCTCATAGAGTTGCCTGCCTGGGCTTTGAACCCTTATCCTCAGATCTCACTGAGCCTCCTGAGTAGCTAGGATTACAGGTGTGAGCCACCAGTGCCCGGGTGTGATTTTTATGTTGGCTGTTACAGTAGGTACCTATTCTGACTGAAGTTTTGAGAAAAGGAATAAAGACAGTAAAATAAAAGCGGGTTTTATTTTCATTGTTAGCTTTGGAAATTTGTTCTTGGTATTGTAATGGCTATTTATAACAGCCAAATATAAATCTCCAAAGACAGAAGAGTATTGTTTTAGAATCTGGCCATACCTAGAACCCAAAATTGACTCCTGTCTTGATAGCTTAACAAAATAAAATGAAGAAAAGAAAAAGGATCAGCTGAAAGATAACTCAATATTGCAGCAAAAGTTGCTGTGAGAGGAGGCTGTAATCCCCTGCTGTGTGCCTTCTCCCCCCAGCTGGAGGCAGAACGAGTATTTCAGTTTATCTGAAAGTCTGTAAAGCTATTTGCCTTTGGTAGAATCTGCTCAAGAATTCCCAGGCTCTACCACTGTTGCAAGTGCTTTGTTTCTAAATGCTTAGATAAAAGTTTAGCTTTTGCCTGGCACCAGTGGCTTACGCCTGTAATCCGAGCTACTCAGGAGACTGATATCTATGGATCAAGGTTCAAGGCCAGCCCAGGCTGAAAAATTGTAAGACTTTTTTTTTTTTTTTTGCCAGTCATGGTGCCTGAACTCTGGGCCTGGGCGCTGTCCCTCAGCTCTTCAGCTGAAGGCTAGCACTCTTCCACTTGAGCCACAGTGCCACTTCTGGCTTTTTTCTTTTTGCTTATGTGGTGCTGAGGAATCGAACCCAGGGCCTCATGAATGCAAGGCAAGCGCTCTACCACTGAGCCACCTTCCCAGCCCCAGTTGTAAGACTCTTAGCTACAACTAACAGCCAGAAAACGAAGTGACGCTGAGGCTTGAAGTGGAAGAGTGCTAGCTTTGAGCTGAAGAGCTGAGGGATAGTACCCAGGCCCGGAGTTTAAGCCTTACAACCAACAGGAAAAAATAGTTTAGATTTTTATCTAAATGTGAGTGAGTGTGTGGACAGTTCCGGAGGTGTGGCCGATTCCGTGGCTGCTCCTTGAAAGGACAGTGCCCGTGCTGACTTGTTTTCCTCTTGCCCCTAGGTTCCTGGGCAAGGAGCGCTGGACTTGTTGGCTTTTGGCAGTGCATCGGAGCTGGAGCAGCTGGGGTTAGAAAGGCTCAAGTGGGAGCTGACCTTGCGGGGGCTGAAGTGTGGGGGTGCCCTGCAGGAGCGGGCGGCCAGGCTCTTCTCCGTCAGGGGGCTGGCTCCGGAGCAGATTGACCCCGCCTTATTTGCCAAGCCTGGCAGGGGAAAGAGGAAATGAGAAGGGGGGGTGGGGGGCAGCCGTATGCAGTCGATCTCAGGGTTGGGCTTCTTGTGACCAGAGGTCCCCATGATACTGAAAGCAGCTTCTCCCCTTTTGTTACTGCATACATGGAATCAATGTGTGAAACCCTCTTGGGGCCTGGTGTTTTCTTTATAGGAGGTTTTGTATATACATTTTAGCGTCTTAAATGTTGCACTGTTGTGATTTTGTCTGTGGTTATCACATTTAGGAACTTATCCTGTGCCCAAACTATCAAGTTTGTGCACATAAAGTTACTCATAATCCCTTTTTGCCTTTCTTTTTTCCCTTTTTCTGTTTCTAGGACTTTAGGCTTTAACTCAGGGCCTGGGTGCTGTCCCTGACTCTTGCTCTACCACTTGAACCATAGCTACACTTTGGATTTTTTTTTTCACTTCTGAATTTTTTGTTGGTTCTGGGGCTTTAACTCTGGGCCTGGGCGCTGTCCCTGAGCTCTTCAGCTCAACGCGAGTGGTCATTGGAGAAGAGTCTCGCAGAGTTTCCTACCCGGGCTGGCTTTGAACCCCAATCCTCAGATCTCAGCCTCCTTGAGTTGGATTACATGCTTGAGTCATGGGTGGGCACCTGGCTCTGAGACATTTCTCTTCCAGTTAACTGCCAGTTCAATAAAACAAGTGGAGCTATGGCTCATGTGATGGATCAGCCTTGAGCAAAAAAGCTCCCAGACAGCCTCCTGGCCCTGAGTTCAAGCCCCAGGACCAGCACCAACAGAACAAAACAAACTCATTAGTTCTTCAGTGCCAAATTGTGTCTCAGTTTGGACATTTCCAGTGCTCTTTGGTCCCTGGGACTGGTGTGAGGTTCATCCCAGCCCTTGAGAGAGCCGCAGCTGGGGTGTCCTGCCGGCCTTGGAGCTGCATCTCCCAGTGCTGAGGCCCGAGCATTGATTGGCTCGCACGCATGTGCTCACCCGGGCACTGATTGGCTCGCTCCTCGCACGCATGTGCTCACCCGGGCACTGATTGGCTCGCTCCTCGCACGCATGTGCTCACCCGGGCACTGATTGGCTCGCTCCTCGCACGCACGTGCTCACCCGGGCACTGATTGGCTCGCTCCTCGCACGCACGTGCTCACCCGGGCACTGATTGGCTCCCGAGCCTCCGCCGCGGAGCGCTCCTCCGCGCCCTCGCGCGCTCCCCTGCCGCTGTGCGTGGTCAGCCTTGGCTCGGGCGCACGGTGGCCCCAGTTGGGTTGGTTTCATCCACTCTGCCCGGTCCTGGAAGCGCACAGGGCCCTGATGGGCTGCCTGGTCAGATCCGGGCCCACCTCCAGGTCCCCCGGACTCCCGCAGGACGCCCGCCGACCCTGCCCTGGTCACTGATCCCCGGTTCAGGCGCAGCTGCTCTAGGGACTCAGCAGTCCCAGCTCCGCTCGTCCTGAGCGGCGCGGCCGCCTTTCCTAACCCGTGTAGACGATGGACACAGCGCACACAGTCGGAAGCACTGCCTCTTCTAGCTCCTCGGCCTAGTTGTAGAGCACTTGCCTGGCTTCCCCAGCACCACAAACAATTAGACGGACTTAACGGATCTGGTGGGAGGATTGCAGCTCAGGACCTGCCCTGGGCAAGGGTGCCATCTCCTATCTGAAGTATAACAGCAACAACCAGGTAATAGGAGCCCGACACCAAACGCTCACCCCTGTCGTTGTAGCTGCTCAGGAGCTGGAGATCTGAGGCTTGAGGTTTGAAGCCAGCCTGGTGAGGAAAGTCTGAAATTTCACCTCTTGTTCACCAGCCAAAAGCTAGAAGTGGATCTATGGCATAGGTGATAGAGTGCTAGCTTTCCATGGGAAAAAGCTAAAGGGAATGTGTTCAGGCCCTGAGTTCAAGCCCTAGTACTGGCTCAAAATACAATTTAAAAACGGTTAGGTGTGGGGTTTAAGTGGTAGAGCATCTGCCCAGCATCAAGGCTGAGTTCAGCAGTATCAGCAAAAAAAAAGTACGCCATATAAAGAAGACAGTGATCCTCCCTCTCTTATCTGTAGAAACCAAGGCAGTGAGCTTGGACCCCAGCCCGCTGGCCTTAGCAGCTGGCTCCGTGGCACAGCCGGCCTGCAGCCAAGGGGTGGGAAGACACCAAGTCTGGAGGAGTTACACCAGCAAGCCCTGTGTGAGGCCTTCTTTAGTCCTGGCCTGTCCAGCCAGCATTGAAAAGCTCTGGGCTGGAATTGGCTCCCTGGGGAGCTAATGGAGATCCACACATCAGTGGCCCATTATCTCAGCCACACTTATCACCCACATTCTGTTTATTGGCACTGTTTGCTAAACGCCAAGCCCCTGACGGGTGGGGCTCCCAGGTGGCGGGTGATGGATGGGAGCTGGGGAAATGTTGATTGAACTGTGGGTAGGATTAGCTTGTCTAGAAGCCGTCTGTCCGCTGGACTGGGAGATTGCTGACCAGTGGGTGGATGCTCAGGGCACCAGCGCAGGCCATGTGACCTTGCATGGGATGAGTGTGTGTTAGGGCCTCGGTTGCCCGTCTGGGGACAGGAACAGGGCTGCGGTGGCGTAGGCTGAGCTGGACTGGGATTGGGTGGCAGCTTAGAGCCTTTGCCTACTCTCAGCTTTGATCCTTTTGAGGAGGGTGGAGATGGTGCCATTTGGAGCCCCAGGATTAACTGTAGCTCTATCCCTCCTAGAGGGGCACTGTGTTTTTGATAGGGCTGTAGCCTCCAGGAGACAGGAAGCAGAGGCTCAGGGCCACTGGTGTGTGCCTGGGGTCCCCCGCAGGCTGGGGCCTGGCTCCAGGAAGCTCCCCCGCCCCCACTTTGGCAAGTGAAGGAGAATAGCAGATTTGATGCAGTAAGTTCTACAGGCTGTCCCCACCCTTTTCCGTGCTGGCCCTGGCCCCAGCCTGCAGTCGGAGCCCTCCTCCAGGTTCCTGTCTCCAAGGAGCCCAGAGGGCCCGCCACTCCCAGGGCTGGACCAGGGAATCCAGCATCCTCTTGGATGCACTTTCCTGTTGAGTCCAGGGCTCTGTGTAGCCAGGCTGGCAGGAAGTGCAGGTCCTGTCACCCGAAGCTGCTGTGTGCTGGGTACAGGCCGTCAGCCCTGCACTTGCTCGGGTACACTAGAAACATGTAGTCAAGATCATTCTTTAACATTTTTTTGTGTTAAAGTTTGTGAAAGCTGGGCACTGGTGGCTCACGCCTGTAATCCTAGCTACTCAGAGGCTGAGATCTGAGGATCATGGTTCAAAGCCACAGGCAGGAAAGACCGTGAAACTCTTATCTCCAATAAACCACCAGAAAGCTGGAAGTGGCGCTGTGGCTCAAGTGGTAGAGCGCTTGCCTTGAGCTGAAGAGCTGAGGGACAGCACCCA